GTATATGCACATCTATCTGCAGCATCGGTATGTACATGTACACTCAGTATTCAGTCTTTCATGTGCAATATGGCCGACTGGTGGCCATTATAATTAAATTTGATTTCAATGTCAGATTATGATTTAATTCATCAACATTAAATTGATTTCTTCCACTTCCACAGGGTTGTCTGTCTGAAGCTGAATGCCAGCCATTCCAATTGAATGTGGATATATTGGAAACATCATTAGCAAAAGCTAAAACACAGGTATTATTATTGTTTTCACTAGTAATAAACCTATTCATACCACTGTCACTAGTAATAAACTTAATCCTATGACTGTCACTAGTAACAAACTTAATCCTACCAATGTCACTAGTAATAAACTTAATCCTACCACTGTCAACAGAAACAAACCTATTCATACCACTGTCACTAGTAACCAACTTAATCCTACCACTGTCACTAGTAATAAACTTAATCCTACGACTGTCAACAGAAATAAACCTATTCATACCACTGTCACTAGTAACAAACTTAATCCTACCACTGTCACTAGTAATAAACTTAATCCTATGACTGTCAACAGAAACAAACCTATTCATACCACTGTCACTAGTAACAAACTTAATCCTACCAATGTCACTAGTAACAAACTTAATCCTACCACTGTCACTAATAAAAAACCTAATCCTACCACTGTCAGTAGTAACAAATTTAATCCGACCACTGTTATTAGTAACAAACTTAATCCTACTACTGTCACTAGTACCCAGCTTAATCCTACAACTGTCAACAGAAACTAACTTAATCCTACCACTGTCACTAGTAACAAACTTAATCCTACCACTGTCAACAGAAACAAACTTAATCCTACCACTGTCACTAGTAACAAACTTAATCCTACCACTGTCAACAGAAACAAACCTATTCATACCACTGTCACCAATAACAAACCTAATCCTACCACTGTCACTGGTAACAAACTTAATCCTACCACTTTTGCCAGTAACAAATCTAGTCCTACCACTGTCGCCAGTAGCAATTGGAGTTCTATGATTTCTAATGGATCTTTTTAGAGGAAGTTCCAGTCATGTTAGGGTAATCATTGCGACAAGAATACTGTGATTTGTAATGTGCACTGAGGGCCGTAACAGCACACAGGTCTGGCAATTTTAGTGGACACTACATTCCCAACCCTGAATGGCGCATGGTCAGCAGTCAGTACATATTGCCCACTTGCTAGGTATGTTTCCATGGTAACTTTGATATCCATTTATTCCAGGGTTACAATGTTCGATGTCTGTTCTTGATTAATCCTCACAATCCATTGGGTGATGTGTACTCAAAGGAACTAGTGCTACAGTGTCTTCAGTTTGCAAAAAGGTAACACTTTCGTTATACACAATGATAAAACTGAACAATGGGCAGTAGCAAGTTGGTAGTAGACTGCAGATAGCGGGATGTGGCAAGAAGATAGTGGGCAGTGAGCAATAAATAGTGGGCAGTAGGCATTAGGATGTGGAAAGTAGATACAATTTTAGGCAGTGGAGAGTAGATAGCAGGCAGTGGCCAGTAAATTGTAAAAGTAACAATAAATCAGTGAATTTTCTCTCTTTAAATGTTTACATCTCGATATAAAACTATTCACAAAGACAACATTTCACTGAGAAAATTCTTTGATTTCACTGATGTGAAATTGTTTGATTTATATCCGTAACTTTGCAAAAGTCTGTCTCTTATAGGTCTAAAGTGAGCATCCCTAGTCCTTTTTGATTGCTGGCATATTGTCTGTTAAACGGATTATCCTTGATTTCAAGAACATTTCAATCTATGTAATATCTGTATATATGGCTGTACATTCCAATTTACATAGTAAATCATAGATTTTTAGATGACATTTCCAGGATGCATTTAGGTTATTCTGTGATTGGCTGTCAGTGCTGCGACTATTATGATATCTGTGATTGTACACGCTCTCTGTGGAATTTGCATTTCCTTGCAAGTTCTAACTAGTTAAAATATTGATATCTTGTAGAAATAATTTGCATGTTATTATGGATGAAATTTATATGTTGTCTATATTTCAAGACGATGTCAAGTTCACCAGCGTCTTCAGTTTGGATACGTTGCCTGATCCACAAAGAACCCATGTTATATGGGGATTTTCCAAGGTATTCCATCAACCATGACTTCTCTATTCATCCCAGACATGCTTGGAGCAATTACATTCAAACTTTATACATTTTTCATG